GGTTACAAGTGTGACCACTATCGCTGGCTGATCTTTTTTGAGTCAGCGTCTCACTGTATAGCCCTGGCTGGCCTACCACTCTCTGCATTGACCAGGCTGGCCTCAAACTCAGAGATCTGCCTGCTTCTGCCTCCAAGTACTAGGATTAAAGGCACACACCACTACACACAGCCAATTCTTTTAATGTGGGTTCTGGGCTCAAACTCAGGCTCTTATACTGTGTAGCAAGTACTTTACTTACTGTCTCCTTTGCCTATTTCTACTTTAAAAAATATTTATTTTCTGTGTATGAATGTTTATCTGCATGTATGTATGTGCACTACATGTGTGCCTTGTACCTGCAGAAGCCAGAAGACAGCATTGGATCTCCTGGAATTGGAGGTTACAATGGATGGTTATGAGTGTCAGGTGCTCTAACCACTGAGACATCTCTCCAGCCCTCATTTTTTTTAATTAAAAAAATTACATTTATTTATTTGTGTGTGTACATGCCACTGTGCATGTGTCTGCAATTTGGTTTTGCTATTGACTTAATGGAGTTATATATACAACTAAATTTTTTTCATAGTTCTAGCAGTTTGCCTGTGAATATTTTGGGTTTCAGTGTACACGACACAGTTCCTGTAAACGTCAGTTTGCTTTCTCCTTTCAATCTTTACATCTTACTTTGTTCTGGCAGGTGACTGTCCATGCCAACTGCCCTGGCTAGGAAGTCAGATATGTTAAACAGACACTTGGAGGAGAGGCAAACTCTGAGGAGTCTTGATTTTAAGGAATGTGTCTGTCTCCCCTTTGGGAACCATGTCCTTGCTGGGCTTCAGCAATGATCTTTCTCAGTGCGGGAAGCATCTTTCTATTCCCAATGAATTAAGGCATTTCACTCAGGGAGATGTTGATTCATGTGCAGGGCTAAGATGGTCACAGGACTTCCTGCCTGAATTCCCAGGATGAATTGTGTGGATGGATTTCCAAGTGGGAAGCATGCTTGCATTTCCAGGACAAGCCCAGTTCCATCATGCCACCGGCCAGTCATAGAGCTGGAGAACTTGTAGTTCCAAGCTCTAGAGGAGCCAGAACTGTGACCCACCCCCAACCCCACTGGTGGAATGCTGCCCTCTCTTCTGCAGAGGAAGTGGCTAAGAAGGGGCCAGGTCAGGGGTTAATGACAGCATTGTGCTCAGGGCTGTGGATAGCTCAGCCTGTCAGCAGCAGTATCTGAGCATTTGCAGCCCCAGGGAGCCCTCTACCCCTTCCCATCTATTGTCGTTGGAGGGAGGAGCCCCTGCTGGCCTTTGATAGCCACTGTCACTGTACCACTGTGGGGACCCAGGCCATCTTTGGTCAGGTCTGGTCTGCTGAGGCCCCAGATGCAGCCCATCACCAGGGGCCTGGGTCTGATGAGGGAAGCCAGCCAGGCTTTGGCCCCATCCAGCCTCTGGTCCCACCCAGTCTCAGACATGTCCCCCACTCAGGCTGTATGATGCCCCACCCATCCTCTGGACAACCTGGTCCTCAGCAATGCCCAGCTCTTGGGGAAACTGAGGTATGACTTGGTCAAGAACTTGTCAGGTCCTGTGACTTTTTTTTTTTTTTTTTTTGGTCTTTTTGAGACAGGGTCTCCCTGTACCCCCAACTGTCCTGGAACTCACTATGTAGACCAGGCTGGCCTTGAACTCAGAGATCCACCTGCCTCACCTCCCTCTGCCCCCCAAGTGCTGGGATTAAAGGCATGCACTACCACGCCTGGCCCCTGTGACTTCTTGATGTGCCAGGCTGGGGCCAGTGCCCAGGGAGGCTGAGAAGTAGACATGCTCAGTCACTCCCTCTAAGGGCTTACAGGCTGGGAGGGGGACGCACACATGCAGGGAAAATTAAACCAAGTAAGGTAAATTCAGCAAGCACAGAGGACTGTGCTGGGAAACAAGGAACCCTCGGCCAAGCAGGCCTGGGAGGCTTCCTGGAGGAGATGATGCTGGGACTGATTCTCACAGGATGAGCAGGAGTCAGGATCAATATGGGCGAATAAATAGGGAAAAGCATTACAGGGCCAGGGAACAGCATAAGCAAAGGCAGAGAGAGTAAAGCTAACATGGTGTGTCTGAGCCACAGCAGTTCATGATGAGAGATGAAACTGAGAACCAGGGTTTCCACGCATCATGTGTCAGACTGAGATGTCTACACTGGGGGCTAGAGATTGCTCAGTGGTTAAGAGCACTTCACTTGCTACTCTTGTAGAGGCCTAGAGTTCAGTTCCCAGCACCCACATCAGGTGGCTCACAACCACCTGTAACACCAGCTCCAGGGCATCTGCCAATTTCTTCTGGCATCCTCAGGCACCTATGTGCATGTTGGCACACACACAAATAATAATAAAAGTAATTTTTTAAAAAAGACTTTATGGAGCTAGAGAGATGGCTCAGCAGTTATGAGCACTGGCTGCTTTGCAGAGGAGCTGGGTTTGGTTCCCAGCATCTACATCGCAGCTAACAAACCTGAGTAACTCCAGTTCCAGGGGATCTGACGCCCTCTTCTGTCCTTTGCGGGTATTGCATGACATGGGTGCACTTACATACATGCAGGCAAGATACTCATACACATAAAATAAAAATACATTTTTTATTTATTTTATTTTATATGTATGAGTGTCTTGCCTGCATGTGTGTAAGTGCATTTACATTGTGCAGTACCCGTGGAGGTCAGAAAAAAGGCATCAGATCCCCTGGAACTGGAATTACAGATGGTGGTTAGCCACCATGTGGGGAATTGAGCCCGGGTCCTCTGCAAGAGCAGTCAGTGCTCTTAAAGGCTGAGCCATCTCTCCAGCCCCATAAATACATTTTTTTTTAAATTACAAAAAAGATCTAGCCGGGTGTGGTGGCGCACGCCTTTAATCCCAGCACTCGGGAGGCAGAGGCAGGCGGATCTCTGTGAGCTTGAGGCCAGCCTGGTCTACATAGTGAGTTCCAGGACATTTGGGGCTACAGGGAGACCCTGTCCCAAAAAGACAAAAAAAAAAATCTAAAAAGATGTCCAAACTGGGCAGTTTGTCACTAGGGCAAGGAAAAGGGTGAAGAGCTGATTCTAACTCCACCTCTGTCCACCCATTCATTCAATATCAGTCATTCATCTCCCTGAACCAGACTAACCTTGGCTAGGTCACTTACCCAGCAGGCCCTGCTCCAGGCTGCCTGAGTGACATCTCACCTGTCAGGAGCGTAGGGTTGGGCAGAGCATGCACAGACTGGTCAGCCCCAGAGAGCAGGAAGTATGGCTGGGGGCAGAAGCTCAAGAGAGAAGGTCTGAGAGCAAATTCCCACAGCAGAGTAGCCTGCCACAGAGTGTGGAGCCGCATCAGTGCTGGTGGACTAACGGGGACCTGTCTGTGGAGTTGGGCTTTCTACTATTTGTAGCAGAATGCCTTCCTCACTTGTCCAGGCTCCTCCTCTCTAATTGAAAGCAAATGACCCGCAAGATCCTGTGCATCTGCAAAAGAAGGTTTTCCAGAGACCCTGCCTCTTTTCTTTTTTCTTTTTTTTTTTTGTCGTTTTGAGACAGGGTCTCCTTGTAACCTCAGCTGGCCTTGAACTCACTGTGTAGACCAGGCTGGCCTTGAACTCACAGAGATCTGCCTGCCTCTGCCTCCCAAGTGCTGGGATTAAAGGGATGCACCACTATGCCCAGTGAGGCTCTTTCTTAAACATGGCCACACTCCTTGACCCCATTCTGAATAACTTTAAACTTTGAAAGTGTTGATTTTAGAACCTTACAAATAATAAAACATGAAGTCTCAAGAGAATTAAACTCAAGGACAGCAAGATGGCTGGGTAGGGAAAGGTGACTGCTGCCAAACCTGATGACCTGAGTTTGATCCCCAGGACCCACACAGTGTAAGGAGAGAACCAAGCCCCACAAGGTGTCCTCTAATCTCCACACACACGCTATGGCACATGTACCTACCTACCCACCCCCAAATAAATAAATAAATAAATAAATAAATAAATGTAATTTTTCAAGAGGGGGTGGAGGAGAGATGACTCAGCAGTTAAGAGCTCATACTGCTTGCTCAAGGACCCAAGTTCAATTTCCAGCACCCATGTGGGACTACTCACAGCCACTGTAATTGCAGCTCCAGGGGATCCAAAGTCTCCAGTCTCCACAAGCACGTGCACTTATATGCACACACCCACACACAGACACAGGTCAATACACATAATTAAAAATGATAGCCTTAATCCCCGCACTCAGGAGGCAGAGGCAGGCGGCTCTCTGTGAGATTGAGGCCAGCCTAGTCTGTATAGTGAGTTCCAGGTTAGCTGAAGCTACAGGGAGACCCTGTCCTAAATTTTTTTTTAAAAGTAAATAAATAATAAATAAAACAAAGATATCTTTACAAAAAAAAAAGAAAAGAAAAAAGGAACTCAGCTTGGTATACCTCTATAATCCCAACACTCAGGAGACAGATGCAGAAGGATCACTGCAAGTTCAAGTTCAGCCTAGTCTACATAGGAAATTCCAGGCTAGCCAGGGCAACATAGTGAGACCCTGTCTCAAAAAATGAAATTTAAACTTAGTCAAAGTCCCTCTCTCCCAAGAATAATTGAGGCTCATTTTTTTCTGTTTTTCCAATTATTTTTATTTTGGGGGGTGGGGTGGGGGGAGAACGAAGGCACACATACATGCATGTGGGGGCCCAAGGACAGCCTCGGTGTCCTTCCTCAGGTACTGTTCACCTTATTTTTGAGACAGGGATGCTCATTGACCTGGTATTTGACAAGCTTTCTAGACTGGCTGGCCAAGAGCCCCCAGAGAATCCACCTGTGTCAACCCCCCCTCCCCCAGCGCTGGGATGACACACGCGTGCAACACACATCTTTTTCACATGGGTTCTTGGAGGCCAACCCGGGTCCTCACGCCCTTTTCGGACTGAGCTGAGCCATCTCTGCAGCCCTTTCCTTTTTTTCTTTTGACATTTAAATGAAGTTGAGCTCACAGCATATAACTGGGATTTGCTTCTGCTCTTTATTATAGACTGTGAACCTGGGTCTTTTTATGTCCAGTTTTCATTAAAGTTACACCCCAAGCACTTCCCCACATATCTAAATTCTTCATGAGCATTGTTTCTTCACTTGCATCCAGTCACATCAATAGGATCTGACTCCTGTTACCATCCTCTGCTCCTGCATGTTAAAGTCATGGACAGGTTTCTCTGAAATACGCATTGCGGCATAGGACCATATGGATGGATCAGCTTCTTTAACAACGTACAGCCTTCCCCGGTACCAAGTCACCACAGACACTGGGCCAGCAACATGGTCCTCTGAGAAGCAGCCTTGCCCCGCGGTCTGGCAGGTGTCCTGTCTGTCATGTGGTGGCTCTGCAGCCCCTAGAGAAAGGAACCTGCAGACATTGAGAACAGTAGGTTAACTCAGCACCTGCTGCAGGGTCCTGAGCCTCCTGCTCCATGCTCCTTGCTGGTCGGCTTCATTTCACTCTAGTCCAGGGAACGAAGTTGTAAGGAAGATGATGGAGATAAAAGCATGAGTGGCCCAGGAGGCACTTGGGGAACAGGGTGGGGGTGGTCTCTGGGGAACAAGTGTCCAGTTTGGTAACACATAGGGAGACTACTCCCCCCCACTACAGACCAGGAGACTGGGACCAGCAGGGGGCCCTGTGCCCTTTGCATCGCAGAAGTTTGCTTCTGCTCTGCCTTCCCCACAGAAGTGGTGTGTGTGTGTGTGTGTGTGTGTGTGTGTGTGTGCGTGCGTGTGCGTGCGCGCAAAGTGGCCAGATGGTAGTCAGGAAACGGGGCTTTGAACTTTGCCAAGAGCAAACAAACACAAAGTGGACATCCCGGAAGCCCTACTGTGTGCTCTCAGAGCCATGGTGTGGCAGGCAATGGCTTTGCAGCCTCCTGGGGGAAGAGTGGGAGAGTTCACAGAAAGGGAAGTGGCTGGAGACTTCAAATCCCTTGGGAATAGCCTAGCCCCCATACTCCTTGATGTCCACACAGGAGGATGATAACAGCCACCCAGGACTGAATGAGGCACCTCTGCTATCAAGAGAGACACCCATGTAGGACAAGCTCACTGCTCCTAGGCCAGACATGTAACTAGCACCGAAGATGGAAAACCACTCAACAGTGCCCTCTCCAGACCTGAAGACACCAACTCTTAGGGCATCCCAAGCTCCCTGTCCCCCCCTTCACTGCGGAAAAGAGGGGCCACTGGAAAGAAGCCCCTTGGCCTCCCCTTTCCCACCACAAATGGCTTTCAGGTCTGGTCCCTCCTACCTTGGCTCTCTCACCTGCTAGGGGGGACCTCCTTCCCCTCCTGCCATGCGCAGGAGGCCCTCCCCCCTCACACCATCAATACCTCTCCTTTCCCCCACCTCTCCTTCCTCTCACCTTAGAGAGACCCAACACCCCTAGACTATGATCCTACACCTCCCTTCTATACCTAAAGGAGCTGCTACTACCCTAGATACCACCTCCAAGTCCTCCCTTCTGAACATACCCACTTCCGCACTGGAGAAGGCTTCACTACCTAGGCCCTTCTCTCTGAAACCCTCCTTCCCATCTTCCCAGGACACTTTGCTGACCACCAGACGTCTATGGCTCCCTGTAGCAGTGGGGGAGGCCAGAAGTCTTTTCTTTCCTTCTGGGTAATGCCCAGGGTAAACTTCAGCCTCCCCACACATCCCCTCCCTGGCCTTGGTCATAGGTCCTGTACAGTCCTGGGTGCCAGGGCAGTATGGGCTTCCCACTCTCAGCTGGGACACAGAATGGGGAGCCAGGCGTTAGCCTGATAGTGACCCAAACAGCCATGCCACCAGCCTCTGGCTGTTACCTGTAAGGGCCAGGAATGCTGGGAGGGAGGGCCTCCCCTAACACCAGCAGCCTCTCTGGATCCACGCACTCTGGTTCTGAGTGCAGCTGACATTGTGGTTCCACTGCAGGAAAAGCCAAGACACCATACTGCTGGTGGCCTGTTGGTGGGGGTCTTATCCTTTCAGGAAGTATAACTGGGGTTCTTCTCCTCCCCCAGCCCTTTCCTAAAGCCCTACCCCAGACCTTGAGAACTTGCTGGCTGAAAGTCAAGATGTGGTAGGTAGTACACAGATCCAGCTACTGGGGAAGCTGAGGTAAGATCACTTGAGCCCAAGCTCAAATCCAGCCTGGGAGAGAGAGAGAGAGAGAGAGAGAGAGAGAGAGAGAGAGAGACAGACCTTGAGAACTTGCTGGCTGAAAGTCAAGATGTGGTAGGTAATACACAGATCCAGCTACTGGGGAAGCTGAGGTAAGAAGATCACTTGAGCCCAAGCTCAAATCCAGCCTGGGGGAGAGAGAGAGAGAGAGAGAGAGAGAGAGAGAGAGAGAGAGAGAGAATATCTCTGTCTCAAACTCACTAAACAAATAAATATAGAAATAAGCTGGTGGTTGGGACTTCCTGTTCCCTGAGATTGAGAAATCTCCTCCCAGGAGCAAGAATGTCAAAGCACAAAGGATGACCCCTCTGGGGAGGTGTCCATGTCCAGGTATGCATGCCCACCTGCCTGGCATGGCTCCACCCACAGTGGGTCAGTTCACCAGAGAACTCTGATGGACAAACCCCAGGACATGTCCAGGTCCTACTCACTGGAGCCCTGCTGCTGGAGTAGTCCAGGCTGCAGGTAGTGGATCCACCCAACTACCACACCCTGGTGCTACCTACCCCAGGGTCCCTGGCAGGCCCCCCATTTTGCTCTTGGGTATCAGTTTTATTGAGATGAACTTCACCCATCTTGTAATTCATACAATGAAGGCATAGCTCTGTGGTCATCAGGAAATGAGTTTAATGTTTCCATATCATTTAGGACATTTTCTTTACCCTCCCCCAAAGAAACCCTGCTCCCTCTAGCATCACACCCAGCTCCAGCCCTGGCAGCTACTGCCCTACTTTTTCTCTCTTTCTATTTGCTTGGTCCAGGCTTGCCTCAGTTTTCCCACGTATAAAATGAGCATGATAATTTAAAAATCTTTGTTGGGAGGATTTACAGAAGTGGATGCAGGCTTGGGATGGAGCTCAGTGGTAGTGTTTGCCTAGCATGTGGGAGGCCCTGGGTTCCTTCCCCAGTGCAACAAATACAGGAAAAAAAACGAGCTAAAATAAGGGCTTAGGATAATGTCAGGCTCTACCCAATACATGCTGCATGATGATGTCCACTGTCCCATCTCTGGCTGGAGTCTTCCACCACCTGCCTACCACGGACTCTCCACCTGCCCTGTGAGAGGGGTCTTCACCTTGCCCCTCTTCTGGACTCAGCTCTGAGCTCTCCGAAACCCCAGACCTCATAGCTTCTCCCCACATATGCCCACAGCCCTCCTCAAGCCTATCTGCCCTGCTAGTAATAAAAATTTTTTTAAAAAAATTGAAACAGGTTCTCCCTATAGTTCCAGCTGGTCTGGAAAGCACTATGTAGACCTGGCTGGCCTCCTGAGAGATCTGCCTGCCTCCTGAGTCCTAGGATGCACCTCAACAACACCCTTAGTTTATCTCCCATTTCAAAAGTTAGGTCAGGAATTTCTGGCCTAACTGTTCTTCTAAAAGTGCCTCATTTACAAACCTTGCATTTCCCCTGGAATGAATTTCTATTTGGTCATTCAGACCAAAAACCGGAAGTGGGGGATTCTTGACACCTCCCTCCTCTTATGCCTGTTCCCCACTCTCTGGTCTGGACTGTAGCCTCACCTCTCACTGGTCACCAGCTGGGCTTCAGCATCCTATGCATCTCCATTTACCACTCAGTGGTGGAGATGCTTTGGGTAAGTCAGAGCCCCTACTTGAGCCTCAGTTTGCTGGGTGACATGACAGGGAGATCAGCCCTTCCTTCTTCTTGGCTTGTTTTGGAGGTTATGGGAAGGGCTTAAACCTTGGAAAGCTGTTGTTATGTGCTCTATCACCTGGATGACTTGGTGTCCTCAACCAAGGTCACCATGTCCCCCAAAGCACACCCTATATCAGTTGTGTAATGCAGACCATACACAGAATAAGAAGTTAGTCTACCATGTTCCTCCAACCACCATGACATGCCCACAGGGCAGGCACTGTTATTACCCCATTTTACAAATGAGGAAACTGAGGCCCACGGTCCCAAAGGCTGGAGCCTAGCCATTGCCTCAGAGGATGCTGCTGGCACCAAACACTGATTTAAAACTTTTTATGTATGCTGGGTACTGGTCTAAGTGCTGGGGATCAGACAATAAACCAGACTGACACAGACCTAGCCTACAGGGCAGAGATCTTTCTGAAACATAAATCTGAGTCTTTAAACTCACCCATCTGTTCTCAGAATCCATGTGTCTTATCACCAGCCTCTCTCTGTCCCAAGCAACTTACCTTTGCCCACTCTACACCATCCCACTCTGGTCAAACACATGGGTGCCATGAAGTACCTCTGCCCCAGCACGTCCATTCACCACCTTGCCTCTCCCTACTGCCAGCTCCTCCATGTCTCTATCCATTAAGCTTTCCCTCAGCTCCAATTGTGGCCGCCTCCTCCAGGAAGCCTTCCTCCCCAGCTTCCGGGTAGAAGTAAGAGCCCTCAGTGCTGTCCAGACGCTCTGACCTGTAGCACATGAGACTCTTCTCTCTTCCTTCAGGGCCAGCCAGGGGGAAGCTCTTCAACTCTGTCTCTCCTCACTCTCTCACTACCCTTCATCATCCCAACCACCACCAAGTCCTGAGGTTCATCTCTTCTTGGCCTCCTGTGACCCAAGCCAGCACTGACAGGTGAGTCCACAACACCCCCAGCCCGTGAACATACTAAGGAGCAGACATTGTCCTGTCTTGTTTCTGTCCACACAGGGGTAGGTGTGATGGAGGAGTTACTGAGTGTTCTAGCGGCTGAACCCAGCCTCCCCAGAGCTGTGATTCCAGACCCAGCGAGGTGCTGTGATTGCCCAAGTTTTTCTACTTTATCCCCTTCCCAGGCTTCTGGCCCTCTCGGGGTGGGCAGGCAGTGGACCCAGAAGAATGCACAAGACAGCTGGAGTCAGTGGGGGTGAGTGCCAGGTCCTGGTTATGTAGCTTCCCTGTGACTCAGTTTCCTCTTTTGAGAAATGATATCATCAGCCCTTCCTTGCCTATTTCCTAGAGTGGTTGTGAGGGGGGCTGTGGGAGGGGACAGTGACAAAAACTCAGAGAGCAGACGCTTCATTGTCTGGCTGGCTTCCTGACATTCCCATCTCAGACACATTCTGCTTCATTTTCTGAAGTTCCAGTAAATTTGGTTTTGGCTCTCCCTGGAGGCCAGACCCAGTGTGGGTGTTCCCAAGGGTCAGGGCCTATTCACAGGGCTCTCTCTGGAGGGGTCTTTCAGGAGATGCCTGTGGCTTGGCCCAGCTGCAGCACCTGCTCACT